AGATAATCCACTCCTCCTTAACAAGGGTATCAACTGAAGGAGGGTGGAACAGGAGCAAACAAAGAACTTTTGCCTTTTGTAAATTGGCTGCCAAGACTACAAATTATAGTCCCTTCATTACAAGACCACAATCAGTCATTGGATCAATACATGAAATAATTACCAGTTTTTGAAAGAAAGGTGTATGAAGAGGATCTGTGGAGAGAACATTGCCCTTCTATTGCATCTAACACAGCAAAGTAGTCACAGTTGAGGTCATACTTGACTCTAAAGAGAGACGAGTCATCTATTATAGAGATGTACCCTTTGAATTATATATTCAACTGCATCATTTTTAAAATTATTACATGCTTTGTAATATAAGGTACATAGTTAAAATGAAATTAGACTTTTCAAATTCATTTGATTCAAATTCATATCTGACCTTTAACCTTTATCTCAGTTATAAAGCAGAAAATCACATATGTTTGCTCGGCAAACCTTTTTCACCACTTTGTTTGAGAAGTGGGGTTGCTAAAACAAATGCCAAACTCAGTTACAAAAGCAACAGAAATATGAGGATATCTTGTCTAACTTTAATTCTAAGCTTTGCTTTGATAGTTGATAAGCAAGTTACCTCTCCATTATCAATATGTGCTTCAAACTATTCTTGAAACACCAATTAAAAACAACTGATTAATAATATTGACTAAGCTCTGACTACTGAGATTTGGACACAATACTTCATTCAGAACAAAAGACCAAAATCTGCCTTTAAGTAACTGTCCTTAATAACGAAGAACACGTATATTTCTGATGGTCTGCTATGTTGCTTTTTTCATGTTTTCATTTCTTTGTTAAAGTGGTGGCCATCAGATGCTGGGAAAAACATATTCATTGACTTTACTTAAACTCAGAGAGTTTAAAAAATTGTGGTGAATGACAGCTCACGGATCATATTAATATGTGAAGGATATGAATGTAAGGTTTGGTGCCCACAGAGATCTACTGAGGATAAATCATCCTACCTCAGCAGTTCCTTTGGCCCCAAACCTCTAAAAATGTTACTTTTATACACATTGTTTCAGGACTTTTTTCTCTCTTCACTTCCCTTTTGTTTGTTTTATATCAAATATGTTTAAAATGTTTATATACATGCAATATTTCAAATATTATAACAGTAAACATTTCAGTTTGTTCGCTTATGGGTTAGGCTGTTTTACCCCCACTTCTTTCCTCAAGTGTTTAAGCATATGCAGGTTCTAAAATTAAACGAATGTTAAATAAGCAAACACGCCTTTGCATCTGCCTTGCAGCTAGCTTCCGACTGCAGCTGCTGTCTGTGGACCCAGCAGGCCTGTTTGATTCATGAAGCAACATCTAAGCTTTGAAATGCCCCTTACATTTCCCACTGCTCGCTCTCATCTCGCTGTTGAATCGTTTCTCCAAATCTGTCAGATACTCTCACAACAGGGTGGATGGCACTCATTGCAAGCTAATAGAGGGTGACTGTATATGCACATGTGGGTGTGCTGTGAGAGCAGCAAGTTAATGTAATGTGACGAGTGGATTTGCCAGCATGTGGTCATCTAAATTTTTGGATGCTTTTGCACGCACAGACACTTTGTCTTATCTTATTCCATTCTCTCTTTTCTAATTCCCTGAAAATTATCTAATCACTCCCAAGGCGTGATTCAATCGGCTAAAAATCTGTATGTAAAGGCCCATTATGCATTGACCAATGCACCACGCAATTTTGGATTTGGAGGTATTCATGCAGCTCATTGCATCAAACATGATCTTTTTTTAAGCTGAATCCAATTTATTAACACATACTGCAACACAGATTGGTATTTTTGTTAGTCCACTTATGATACTTTGTCGAGTGGAGCCAAATTCTGGACACATCCAAAATCACGGCTTTTAGAAACATCTGCATGCTTATTCAGACATGCCCTCACACTCAGATCAGAGTCTATTCATATCCAAGTCAATGGCACTGATTCCATCCACGTGTAAATTCTGTCTTCCTTCATTTCTTCTTTTTCTTTATGTGCATCTTGAAGAAATTAAACACTCTTTAGACACAATGTGGAGCACAATGTGAAGAGGAACAGCTGCTAGACACAAACTCTATTGAAATGTTTACAGAGCTAAACGTTGCTAAAAACTTATGTCTATAAGATTCTAGGACTCAAGATGTTTTCTACACTAACTTGGACTTGATTTCCAATTAGGTAATGTGACACTGAATCGATTATAACAATGCCTGCAGAAGTCATAATACTACCAGACAAGACATATGAGCTAAATATCTAAATTAATGTACTTTGTACATAAAATATGAAGGAAAATTGATTAAAAAAAACACTGACACAAAAGGCATAACCAAGATTAACAGACACAATATAATTTAAAAAGTATGAAGTAATACTGATTGTAATAACATATCTATAGATAGATAGATAGATAGATAGATAGATAGATAGATAGATAGATAGATAGATAGATAGATAGATAGATAGATAGATAGATAGATAGATAGATACTTCTCATGAATTGTGAAAGTTATTTACTGTTTCTCTCCTTAAACAGACAAGAACTGTTTTCTACATTGCAGTCGATGATCATCTGCTTGTATGCTCCCTCCAACCTTTCGTACTTTAACCATTCAATTCTTGAGGCCATTAATCCTCCACTTCATGCTCTCTGAGGTATAAGCACCATGGAGGGCGACTGAAGATGAACACAGAGGCAGACAACAAACAACAGCTTGCCTCATAACATGTGCTTATCTGTGAAACGCTGTCTGGTTAGAGCAGGCAGTATCATTTTTCCCTTAAAAATCCCCAACGCAAGAGGCTCTGTTTAACCAATGCTATAAGAATCAAAAACCAGAGGAGCTCGATCTTTAATTAATAATAAAGATGATATTACAGGTGGCTACATTTCAAATGACTCACTCTTGTAATGTAGTCAGGGCTTTCAGTGAGGTTAATTGAGACCTTGACAGCACTTTAGTCTCTTTGCAAGCCTATACGTCTCATCTTTCCTCTGGTTAGCGTCTGCTCCTGGGCTCTACAGAGCGAGATTTGATCATGTATACTCCAGCTGTGTGTTCGCATGTAATCAGAAGAGTGCTACCAAGGGAGAAGGAGGTTTAGTGAGAGATGTGCACAGAGGGAAAAAAGAAAAATAGATGTATAAGAACAAGCTCATCTTCACAGGAGCTGAAGTGGTATCAGAGACGGAGCGAGAAGAGAGACCTTCTTTAAATTGATTTATAGATCTTGGCTGAATTAATATTGTCGTATCTTGCAAGTGGGGGGAGGGAGTTCCCAGGGCTCAGGAGTGGGGTATATGATTGGAGATCACTTGCAGCATACAGCGGACACAGGAAGTGATTCAACCAGACTCTCAATGCAGTATTTAAGAGTGTAGATGTTTTAGCATCATCGCAAGTGTCTATAGCATGTTAATAGCATGTTAATGTAGATTTTCTTTCTTCCCAACTCCGACCATAATATCACAAGCTTGCGATGTCAGATAATTTATGTAGGAGTTGTGTTGCCATCATGAACGTTCCCCCTCTGTCCGCATATTTCGCTCTGGCTTTATCTTCTCCTCTCAGCCCACTGTTGATTAGAAAGGCGTAAACAAAGGATTTTTTTTTTTTTTGCTGCTTGTGTCTTGTCATAGCACTGGGCTCAGTCTTACTGAGCTTATACATGCAGTCATAAGCTGTTTGTTGCTTACCGTTAACAGCCTAGACTATAGGAAGGGGTCCAACTTAGTCCATAATTGAAAATGGTTGCTGTGGTCCATTTGCTACGCTTTTGTTCTCCCCGCATCAGCAGTGCACACACCGCCAAGATGCTGCTCTTGTGAGGATATGCTTTTGTGTGTCATTTTCCCCTCTACCTCTTCCCTTCTCTCCTAACGTCTTTTTCTTTTTTTTTTACAACAATTCACACGTCAGCTGAGATTGCTCTAAATTTCGATTTTTGCCAAAGTGGCCTTCTAAGTAGATGTCTCTGTCTGAGTCCCTCAGTCCTCATTTTCTTTCCACCCTTGAAATGTTTTCAATTTTGTAAGAGCATCCACCCATATGATGTTGTTATATTTGTCATCAAGTCACCATTCTCATAGTCTTAAATGTCCCGAGCATTGCAGTTAACGTGTCACATCACACATATTTGTTCTGCTTCTCGGGATGTTTTTCTTTCTGCCTTTACCTTGCCATGTCTCTTGTATAAAACCACAGATTCCTAAATAAATGGTACATTTTTCGTGGTTACCGTATGTTGAAATAAATACGGCCATGTCCCAGTACACAGTAAACAGGTATCAAATGGATACGCCATTGTCCTCCACCAACACTTTTCCCTTGGCTATGATTGCTCCTGTGGCAAGCTGACTTGCTCATCAGATTCTGTTTTCAGTCTGGAAATAGACTAACCCCCCCCCCACCCGGCCAGCCTCTCCCTCCAGGGAAATGAATTGGGGTCTTAAAAGTGATGCATCCGTAATGGAGCTTGAGGATAAACTACACATGATGATTCACCCATTCTTGGATCTCCATAGCCATTTTACTGTGTTACCTGTTTCCCTCTAAATTGAGCCCCAGATATCATTATCTGACATGGATTGATTCATTACTTTGGACTCTCCAGGGGAAACAGGTGAATAATGACAGTCAACTTTCAATTCAGGTCATAGTTCGTGCCAGGAGGTCAGCTAACTTGCACAACTAAGAGATTCTGATCATGTTCATGCTTTCCGTCGATATATGCGCATAATCTATCTATCTATCTATCTATCTATCTATCTATCTATCTATCTATCTATCTATCTATCTATC